GCGAGCGCTCGCAATACTTTTGCGAGATCTCGCAATACTTTTGCGAGCGCTCGCAATACTTTTGCGAGATCTCGCAAAAGTCCGTCTTATTTTTTTTTCCTCCCTAATTTTTTTTTTTTCCTCCCTAATTTTTTTTTTTTTCCTCCCTAATTTTTTTTTCTCCCATGTCCCCTGGGGGGCTCCGTAAAACGTCAATGAAGAATTTGTCAGCTTTTTTTTTTTTTTGGTATTCTTTTTACGTGATAGCAGTTAAAAATGTTACCTGTGCTGTTGCCTGTGTAGAAAACAATAAAAGAAAATTGTTTTGGGGGCGTTAAAATGCCTTCTACGGTAATTATAATTCCTGTGGTTATTTTTTGTTGTCGTGTCTGCATTTGACACGTGTGTCTGTGGGTTTTTAAATCTAAACCCTCCCTCCTTTGCCAAATCAGCTTTGTGATTGGCTTAAAGCGGCTCCATAGTTCTTACATGGACCAATGAATTTAATCCACATCCTAGGACGACAAAAGGGCACGCGACATTTTCAAGAAAGGACCTCGGCTTGTTAAATAGCTGCCTCAAGTCACGACTAACCATTAAAGGTTAACGCGAACACCAAACGATCACAGAAGAGGCAGCGTTTTGTTTGCAGGATTGGAGCGGCGTATATTAAACACGTTATTATGCCTGTATGACTCAGGGTAGTTTTATTAAACTTAATATAAGCGTACAGGCTCAGGTGCTGACACCTAATGGGTCCTATTAGAAGATAACTTTTCCTGCTAATTGCGGGTTTTAATTTCCCAATGAAAACCCGAGCGGCACATCCTTACCGTTACTCGGGTGTGCAAAACGGGATGCTTTTAATATAGCAGCTGCACAGCTAGAAGGCCCTTCTGTCTGGGGTGATATAGGACAACCAACTATGGCATGATACTCGAATCTCAAGACAAGAGTTGGAAAGCTCCGGCAAATAAGATTTACTGCGATATATCACCAAGTCTTCCAGCTGGTGCATAATCCACAGCCAACGTAAACACGCGAGCGCCATTTCCGGGCTCGTGATAGCGGCTATAGTGGAGCGAGAGGTCGGAGCGAGAGGAGCGGGAAGTGGAGCGGTGGTGTCGGTTAACATTCCCGGGGTGGTCGACGACGGCATGGCAGCGGGAAAGGGAGCTGGGAAGCCCGCCTGGCTGTGGGACAATATGAGGTTACGGTTCATCGTTTGCTTCTTCGGAGTCTTCGTGTGCTACTTTTATTACGGAATATTGCAAGAGACGATGTAAGTAACAAGTAACGAAGCTAAACTAGACATTGTTATGCTGCTGTGAACCAAAACTCCCTTCAAAAAGCTGCCGCTTTAATATTGCTATGCATACATTAAAATTTTAGTTGGAGTTTGGTTATAGTTTTGTCATTAGAAAAAAATCACAGTTCTCATAATCGTAATCATATGAGCATATGACCTGAAGCACTGTCTTTGTAGATCTCCAGATCTGTTAAGTAAAACTAAATACAGTACTGCAGCAGTATCCCCCCTTTTTGAGTGATTGATTTATTTTTACATATTTGTCACACTTAAATTTCACTATTAGACAAAGATGACCCATGTAAATATAAACTGTCATTTCTTAACTTGTTATTTAATTTATTAAAGGGGGGGGGGGGGCTATCAAAACCTACCGGGCTCTGCAAAAGTAATTACCCCCTAAAACTAATAAGCGGTTGTGCCAACCTTGGTAACAAGAACTGTAATCAAGTATTTGTGATAACTGGCAATGACTCCTTTATGTCACTGTGGGGCAGATATTGCTTTCCTCACTGTTCTTTGTAGAATTGGTTTGACCACATTAAATGGTTTTTTGAAAATGAATGTCTGTTTCAGGTCAATCTGAATTAAGTCTGGACTTAAGTCTGGACCACCTCAGAGCTTTTAGCAGCTCTGAGGTGGACTTGCTGGTGTGTTTCAGATTATTGTCTTCCTGTTTAACCCAAGTGAACTTAAACTGTAGGACACAAACTGATGGCTGGACATTCTCTATGAGGATTTTCTGGTCGAGCAAAATTTGCGGTTCCATCAATTAGAGCAAGTTGTTCTGATCATGAAGCAGCCTCAGGTCATAACACTACCAGCACCATGTTTGACTGCTGCTGTTATGATGTGTTAGTTTTACATCAGATAAGATGGGATTCAAACTTTCTAAAAAGTTGATCTTTTGTCAGACAGGATCTGTTTAAGCAATTTCTTTATTCAACTGGTTTGGCCTGGGTGTGACTAGTGAAACTGGGCTCAGCTTTCAAACTGCGGTAATCAGAGTTAACTTGTGGTTTAACGATAAATGGGCGCAATTACTTTTTCACACAGGTTTGGCTCTTTTTGCCTTAATAAATTAAATCATGGTTTTCTCTGGTTATCGCAGTCTAATATTAAAATTTGTTTGATGAAATGAAACGTGTGTGAGAAATATGCAAAAGAATAAGACATCTGGAAAACTTGTTCTCTGAAGAATATTTTTTTTTATTTTTAGTCTATCTTAAAAGCAAAATTCTGCATTACACAGACTTTTGTTTTTGCGTTGTTTTTCTTTTTTGGGGAGTACATTTAAAAATCTCAGAGATTTACTGGTTCAGGCATAAGTTTTTGCAAAAGAGACATTTTAGTTTCATGTATAGTGTTTCTCCTATACATGCAACTTTAAAAGCTGCAGTCTGGCTTATGTAAAGTAAGCAGAGCTCTGCCTGTGTTCTCTTTCACATACTGAGAAAGGACACAGATGGTATGCTGTCAACAAAGGGTACAGGAATACTCTCTGGTTTCAAAATGATGACTTGAAAATGCCATGTGAGGTGAAGTGGCACTTCTACAAACCAATGTCTGACTTTTATTACATGTTATTACATGTTGTTATGAATATGGACATATTATCTTCAGATTAGCCCACTAAAAACAATTGCAAACTGACACCAAGTACTCAAGCAAGACAGCTGCTGAAAAAACTTTTGGTCCACTAACAGACTGCTACCCTCACCACACCCCTCTTTCACTCTCCTTTTCTGAATGCCCTTTTCACAGCTAGGAGACACATGAAACCACTCAGATGTTTAACCTAGCTATTTGCATGCTCCTGCCAAGACGGGTCTGTTGTGTTCAACATGCTGTTGCTCTCTGTTTTCTAGCACTCGAGGTGATTATGGTCACGAGAAGTTCAGATTCGCCCGTACGCTGGTCTTCATCCAGTGCATCATCAGTTGTGTCTTTGCAAAGATCTGTGAGTATGTGCTGCACAAAATGCACACAAAAACTAATAACAGTGGTTAAAAGACTCCACTGACTCTGCTAGGAAACACCTGAGAACAACACCAGTCGAATCTCTTGTATGTTAACTTCTCTGCCTAATATTTAAAATAATGTAATGTTGTGAACTTTTTTCTTTAATTCTCTTTTAATAATTAGTGATCCAGTTTTTTGAGAGCTCCAAGCCAGATCACACGAAGAGCTGGCTCTATGGCCTGTGCTCGCTCTCTTATCTTGGAGCCATGGTGTCCAGTAACTCTGCCCTTCAATATGTCAACTACCCCACCCAGGTGAGTATGCCCTATTTAAATGGGTCAACAGTAACTGGTTATGTGTTTTTCTTTTTTCATTGAATGTGTATTTGTGCTTGAGCCTTGCATATTCTATAACTGCGTTTTTGTTTGATAGGTTTTGGGGAAATCCTGCAAACCCATACCAGGTAAATCGAACAAAAATAAGTGTTGTAGTGTTGCTTTTTAAAGT